TGATTTTTAAACAGATTAAAATAAATTGCAATTCATTTAAAATAATTTTAATAAAGTACCTACCACCGCAATATGGTGGTGGATTAGGACAAGGCGTAGCAGGTTCAGGAGCAGCAGCAGGAAGTGCATTTATAAATGGCACCAAACCACCGAAAAACATAATAGCAAGTAACAAGATAAATAATTTCTGATTCATGATAATTATTTTTATTTAAATTTGGAAACTTTAGAGAATTCTAAATATATTTATGAGAAGAATTTTAACAATATTTGTAATCGTAGAGATTTTGATGGCAAAATTTCTGAGGAGCATTTCCCGCATTTATAGACTTTCATGAATTGACAATGTAAGTCACATTATTGAGAAATGTTAACATGTATAGTGTGACTTATGGGTGATGATTTAACTTAGTTAACTACATATATCATAACAATAATATAAATTACATTAGATAGTGTTCACTAATGTATGGTCGACTACAGTATTAGTATTACATATCGTGCTTTTCAAATTACTGCGATCGCCTGTGTAAAAAATTCAGTTTGAAAAGTAGGTGCACACTCATATGATTACTTCATATTAAAATAAGAAAATTTCATAATCGTCCACTTACAGATTGTACCCGGGGTAGACAGTTTATATGGCTATAATAAATTACCGGATAACCAGATAATTTAATAACGCCCGGGTAGAGATTTTCTTGACGGGCACAATCTCTACGTCCACCACGAAAATTCTGTAAAATTTGTCACTATTTAATGAATAAATCTAATTTAAGTGTTTAAAATAAAAACTCTGAATGCTTTGATAGTTGATTGGTCAAAATGATATTAAAATTCCCACTAACAAAAGAAAAAAAAAAACTGGAAATTTTTTATTATTTTGCCACACTAACTACCAAATCTAGTGTACTACTAGATATAGACTGAGAATCGAAATATAATAGGAAGTTTGTGAATTTTTTATTTCTACGTTAATTAGATTTACTCGAATTTTTTCGTAGTACAGTAGTAACATCAGACGGTCACAGTAATTTGAAAATCAAGGTAAATAATTTATTACATTCTATTACATATTACTTTTAAATCTAATAACCGGAAGCGAGTGATAAAAACTGAGATTGAGAGTATATTTGACATTGCTGTACTAAAAATAAAATTATCATAAAATTATTTATTACATATGCAAAAAAGAACTTAAATAATATTAAATAATAGGTAAAAATACGTATAAATTTTGCGCATCCGTAGCACATACACCTGTGCTAATGAAATTTTTATTGGAATGAAAAGATTGGTCGATCGTAATTTAGACTGAAATGTGTATGTTGTGAGCCTCGGAATTTAACGAAAAGTATCGCTTTACACTACTCAAGTTTGGACTATGCCGGCATTATTTAGGCCGGAGGTAGTTTTTTATTAA